ACCTGTAAAATGTCTCACGCAGTACATGTCTTTGTCACAGTTCTTTAACTAGAATAGCATGCTAATATTTGTAACAGTTATGCTCTAGTCGCAAGTAAAACCAGCAGAGGACACATGCAGCTGCCTCTACCCCATCAATTAATTGCACTGCCAGCCCAATGATGCCTACTAGGGCAAAAATGTCTCTTGAGGAATGTTCATTTTCAACACTTGTAGTGAGTTCCCCATTAATATGACATGCATCTGCATAATTTACTGAAATCTATAGTGCTGACTTTTCACTCGTACTAGTGGTATTAATTACTAAGGCATGTTGTTAGTAGGATTTTGTAGACAAGAGCACCACTGCACTCTCATTTAAACCCTCACCCCTACTGTATCAGCTACACTGTTTCTTCAGTTGGTTTGGAAATTTCATATGTGGTTCCCTCTGTCATCATTTCCGCCCACACTTTGACCAAAACACTCTACAGTTGCCCCTAGACACGCATTCTTCTGTAACTGGCCCCACCAGACAGCACCTCAGGCCACCTTGCAGACTGCTCCCATCAGTCCAGGCATAGGTCCAAAAAGACAGGCTAGGACCAATAAAGCTCACAGGCTCCCTGCTGCCCAGGAACAGCCGCTCAGCTCGCCTCATAATTATTCTGTTGGCCCTGTTAAGAAGCCAGAGACTCTCTCCCTGCCCCATTACTCACACACTGCCAAAGATACTGCATAGAGACTCCCCAGGCTGCGCCATCACACAACTATGCCTGTGTAGGTAGTTGCACACGCGTAAACAAACATAGTAGGCTCAAGCTCTATTGCAGTGTCAAACAATACCTCATTGTGACACACAGATAGTGATTAAGATTCTTTTCTCACAACAAAACAGCTTGAAGCTTTTAACTGAATAAAGGATAAGGAGTGCTCGCCTGTAACACATCTGCATTTGCTTAACAAGATCTAAATACAAAAGCTGAAACGGCTACCATTTAGTGTATGCAGCATGGAAATACAGCCATTACCAGGTGAGGAAGCTCACCTTGAGTTGGGACATATGTGTCTTATGATCAATTTCTATCACTTATAATGTTGATGAAATGGTTGTTGAAAGGAAAAAGAACTTAGAAATTGTAACTAATAGCCAAAATAATTTTAAGACAGTGAATATATTTACATAATAGATATGTTACATGTTTGTAGCAGTCTTGAAAACACACTGACAGATGGGGGGGGGGGTCAGGGCCCCATCAGCAAGTATAAAATGAAAATAACCCTGCGTGGGCATAGATGATGACATTATCAGTAATCTAGTTCTCACATCAAGCATATAAAAAAACCAGCCACTGATATGAACACTGAAAAGGGAGCAATTTAAAAAGAAAATTAGTCAAAACCTGTCAAATGCCATATGTTAACCTGCCATCCCATCAGCCACATCTGAGTGTCATGAAAATTAAAAAAAATTCTATTTGATCCAAGCATGAAGCTACCCAATGGCAACATTTTACAATCTGCTGCATGTCATAGTAACATTTATAATCCAATACCAATATGACAATGGCATTTGCTTTAATGAGGTTATTTGCAAAGCCATTAAAAGGTTACATACAGCAATTGATATCAAAGAGAGGCTTATGTAGGATGAAGTATGTCTCATGATGTGGAGTAGTACAGATTTATGGGATTAGATTTGACTGTGAGGCCAGTCAGCCCATATGTTACATTTGAGTAAACTGGAAGCCTGTACTGAATGCATAGATCTATGGTAAGTGGTTGGTAACAGGTGACACTGCAAACTATGCATACCTCATGCACACCCTTGAAGAGATGCAAAGGGCTTCTGATCCAAAATCAGATTATGTTTTTTGTTTTGTGATCAATAATAGAACTGCTGTTGCTAACCCATCATCTCCCAAGAAAGAGAATAATATCTTAGATCCACTCAGGAATCTGAGGGTATCTGGATCGCACAGTGACAGGCTTCAATTTAAGGCATAACCAACCCGAAGACTATATCTCAAATTTAATTATATTTAAATAGTCTCAAGCACAGTATGTATATAAATGTGTGTCTAAATGTAGTGCTTTTAGTAACGCTGAGTCTTGCTTATTACATATAAAAATAAGTGTAAATGAGAAGGCAATACAATTCTTTTAACCCCAAATCACCCTTGAAAAACCCTGAAAGGCATCCTGCCAGTGGAAAGTCCACTCCATTAGATACTGTACGTTAGGCAAACAGAAGTGAATTTGCTCAATGTACGTACTGTGCTGGAAACAGCAAAATATTGACATCCAAGTTTTAAAAAAGGCATCTAAACAACAAACTCATGGGCCCTTATTGTCGCCCAGAATCATGTAGTAACCCAAAAGAACAGCAGCTTAACATGTGAAGTTCATGGTCAAGAAATTGTAGATGTACTTTAGGCTGCCACAGCACTGCAGAGCATCAGACAGGGGGACATCAGGAGAAGTGACTGCACTGGAGGGGTGTGGGCTAAGGAAGAGTATATGTGCTAAGGAAAGCTAGGTTCTTCAAACAACAGCTCCATCTAGTGGTCAATACAGGCAAAATTCAAAATAGGGGAATAAGTGAAAATTATGGCTTTCTGTATTGATTGTAAACTGCTGTCTGGCCTTTTTAGGACCCCATGGGAGGTTTTGGTTAGGGAGTATCTTCCCTAGCACACCAAGCCACATAAAGCTCTATAGTGAAAACTCAGGGGAGGGGGAACTAGGAACAGTAAGATCAAGAGTGAAAATAATAAAGGAAAAAATTAATTAACTAACCAGCTGTTTAGATGAGCCCATGTGTTAGCACAAGGTTTGAAGAGGCAGAGTATATATTAACTCTGGATGTATCATCAGCTGACAATTCCTAATGGCAGTTCATAACCTGCCTCAAGAGTTCATGAAGTTTAGAGTGATTTACAAGTAGAGCTGCACTCACAAATGTCTTTTTTTCCCCTATGTTTTAAGTGCATTTAATTAAATAGTACAGTGTCTGTTTACAGCAGGGTTTGAATACATATATAAATAATTTCCCCCGGGGGTACTCAAACTTTTGGATAGGGCTGTAAGTGAAGGAAATGGTCTTTGAGGATATGAGGAACATACAATGCAGTGCTCGCGTAAAATTGTAGAGTCAATGGTCATTTAACAAAATTAATCTTTGAGCAAAGGTTACTTTGTAAAAAACAACGAAAGGCTTTTTCTTTTCTTTTTTTAGGAACTTTTGTTTGTTTTGGTCATTGTTTGCTACTCAGTTGCATCACACACACCTTATCTCAGTAGCTAGTTAGTTAGCCATATTTGGATTAAATTAAGTGATACTATCATAAAATTAGCTTTACCGACAGGGATAGCGTCAACAAAAACCTGGCGAAAAAACTTGTTCAAACCTTACCTCTGTTCCGAAGAAATTTCGAGATTCTTCGACGATTTTTCCGCGCAGGTGGAAAACGCAATAAGGTCCTTGTTTCTCTTACAACGCCATCGCTCGTCAAACAAAGATGGCAGACGGAAACGACGTACCTTATATAATGAGGCTAATTTATACTGAACAAAGATATAAATCTAATACTCATGAATTGAAATACAAATCTTCAATTTTGTTCACAATTGTGTTTTAAATCCTTGTTAGTAAGCATTTCTTTTTTGCCAAGCTCCACCCGACAGGTGTGGCATATTAAGATACTGATTACACAGCGTCATTATTGCACAGGTGTGCCCTGGTCTGGTCACAATAGAAGGCCACACAAAATGTGTGTGTATGGCATGGTGTTGGTGAGCAGTGTCGTTACGGTATGGACAGGTTTAAGCTACAGACAATAAACAAAGATGCATTTTTTGATGGCGATTTGAGTGCACAGAGATACAGGCCCACTGTCGCGCCATTCATCCGCAGCCATCGCCTCATGTTGCAGCATGATGCAATGATGGCCTGCATACTCACCATGAGCATCTTTAGGATGCGCTGGATCTGCCTGTACAACAGCGTGATCCAATAGCCAACAACTTTGCAGAGCCATTCAGGAGCACAGGGTCTTTCACAGACCACAATCAACAGCCTGATTAACCCTGTACAAAGGTGATTTGGTGTACAACATGATGCGCATGGTGGTCACACCAGAGACTGACTCGTTTTCTGACCCTCCCTTCCAAAAAGTGCACATCTGTAGCCCAGGTCATGTGAAATCTGTAGTACATTGCCTGATGATTCTTTTTCAAAATAAAATTGCACATCTTAATGTGGCCTTTCATTGTGACCAGCCTGAGGCACACCTGTGCAGTTATCACATTGTGTAATCAGCATATTGTTATGCCACACCTGTCAGGTGGATGGATGAAAGAGAAATGCTCACAAACTCAGATTTAAAGACATTTGTGAACAAAACAAAGAAGCCTTTTGTGTTATTACAAAAAATCTTTAATTTCAACTCATGAAAAATGGAAGCAAAAACAAAAGTGCTGTTTATATTTTTGGTCAGGTTATCGACTTGAACTACTATATTTGTCTATATATGTCTATATTTTCCAAGTTATATTTCTATATTACATCATATTCATAATTTGTCTTGCATTTTACAGAGCTCATGGCTTGTTGCAGCTGTCAGAGTACTGAAGTCGTAGCTGTGTAGAAATCTTTAAGGAAACTAAAAATGTAGAAACTATACATGTTATGTTTGTGTGAAATTAGGCAATGTAAGATGTGGGCACTGTCATGGCTAGGAGGAGTGGTATTGTAAGGTTGTTTCATCCTGAGGTATTCAGATGATACAATCATATTTTCAGGCTATAATTGTTCAGGATGTTTAGAAGTAATTAGTCCATTTTTTTATCAAAACTCTGGAATTGACAGTGCTAGGCATTAAAAACGCATACAAGCTGTGCATGTTGAATGGTATCATCAATTTTTCAATCCACTCAACATGCACAGGATTCTATTCTATTTTCTATTCTATCTTTCCCAATCATAATGGGAATTATATGGAAGAAAGACAACACAGGAATAAGAGGTTTGATTTTATTTAGTCCACTTTTAAAATTTACATTTTCTGTCATTAAAAAAGATAAAGCGTCATCAGCTTTGCAGTCCATATCACAAAGAGACTGCAATAAGGAAAGAGTGAAGTAGAATGTAGATGACTTAGTAGGCACATTTTTCAGATGATACATATTAATCTAACTGATGGCAAAATATGTACAGCAATGATTTTATCTTGTGGCAGCACATGCTTGGGACTTCTGACTGAGAGTTCACAGGTTAGTAAAGCACAGATCTATGCAGACAAAGATTTTTCACTGCCTATAAAAGATGTATCTAGTTGACTACATGAGGCAGTCAATTTCCCAAAACTGTATGCCAGTTCAATTTGAAATAAATTAAACCTAAGAGGAGAGAGAAATGAGGAATATCAATGAACTTGTGAAACTAATTGACCAGCGCTTGTCAAATTAAGCATTTTAACAGTTTAGCAAATGTTCCTCCATATGAATCAAGAATACTGAGCTGAAAGCTGAAAGGGGACACGACATCCACCTGATGAAATAACTTGAGAAATAAATTAGAAGTGGATAGTTGTATTAGTTTGCATTTAAAGAGTACCTGATTTTCTCTCTGTAGCCTAAGTTTGATACCTTTGCATAACTTATAGAAAACCTGTCACGTTCTAAAAACTCACAGTAATTCATTCTTTAATCACAAGTCCTGATACCACCTAAGACAGGCACAGGATTCTACCCTGCAGAATCCACATACCTTCGAGCCAAACACACTGGATATTCCATACAAATAAAGGACACTTTTCCTGTTTATATACATAACACTTTTGTACAGTCTTTGCACTTCCATTATAACAGATTGAAGCATCTCCACTTACAAAGTAAATGGAAATCAAATCATGTTCAGTGGATTAAACCTTGAGTGAATCCAAAGCTTAAATTGAGCACTTGTTTACATGTCGAATGAACGGGTTCAACTGCCTTTGCACTGAAAGAAAAAAGTAATAAAACTCTAAAATTCTGTCGTACTGGGTTATCTCAGGGATCTGGTTTGAAGTGGCCTCAGACACAAACAGTTACAGTTTCAGCCGTCCACTCTGACCAAGTGAAGGAATAGTAAAACTGACCTGTCAACAGTGCCTATGGACACTTCACTGTGATCATGTTATCAAGTGATTTCACGTACACTCCAAAACAACATCAAACAGCATTATAATTTAAGGAAATGTTAACTCTGGATCGACCCATCGCCCATTGAAACGTGAACAACAGAACAAAAAAACAAATCCAATATAGTAGGCAGTGAATGTTCAAAGTTCATGAGTCTGCTTAAGTCAAACCCCGAGGACAAGTCCAATCCTTCCACCCGCTTTCATTCTGCGTACAGCTTATTCCTGGCCCGCACCTCTTCCTACAACTGTACACACAGTGCTGTTCTCGGCTTGACAGCAGTGTAAACTATAGACAGTTGAGTGGCTATGAAGCTCCACTGGCCCCTACACACTAAGGATCTATTTGAGGTGGAACGTGACAGCTGGACCGCCCCAAAGCACAAACCAGAACCAACACTAGTGTAAATGGCCCAATGGTTTTGGAGGGTGGGTTGGTAGCTGGGACAACAGGGTCACTTGGGTCCTTTGGAAGGGGTGTCCGTCTCTGTGGATTGGCGGCCATCGTTCCAGGCCTCCCGGGTGCTCTTAAGGGCCTGTGTCCTTTGCTGGTCCACAACCACATAGTCAACACGCTCATCGGATGCTGCCATGCCAGTTCCATTGCTTTTCATCTAGAGAAGGAAAACCATATAGGTCAGCATTGAAAATCCTTCACACTTCTTCATCTAATTGTGAGTGTTGTGATAATCTTAAGTAAATTCCTTTCTTACCTTCCTTGGTGGGGTGGACTTGCCAGGGTCAAGATCCAAATCCAGGTACTCCACCTGTTTGTCTCCCTTTGGCTTCACCATGGGGCTGCTGCCACCATCCGCAGTCAGGGGCGCAACAAGCTTCACGTTCTACATTAGCCAGGAAAGAATGCTTTTATTGAGAGAAGAGAAACACTGAAGCAATGTCAGAGTGAAACAGAGCCAATATTCAAACATACTCCTGTGTTGTCAAAATAACCAATTTTATTTTATTTATGATGTATCAAGAAGTTGGTTCTTTCACAGAATGCTGTGTAAACCCAAATTGCATTCAGAGGCGTCTTTAGAGGGTCGTCATACAGGTACGAATGGTTTGTGGATTGGAAGATTTAAAAAATGAAAAAGAGAGGACTGCAATCAAATGTTAAAGGCATAGTAGTCAACAAAATCACTGTCCAGGTAAACTGGTTGTCAAAACTGGAGCAGGTAGTGAATTATGGGACTATTTAGATGAAATTGATCATTTATCATAAGAATACATTTGTTTAATCTTTTCATCAAGCCCATGTCCCATGTCTGACAGGCACCAGACTCGTAAGATTTGATCACTGATGGATGCACCATTTCGTGGTGCTGGTGCAGTGGTGACATGACATGTGATCTCCTGTCTTTTTGTCATTATATCTAAACATCACATTTAAGATTTAAAATAAGGATAAAAAAAGAAAAAGCTAAAATTATGGTATTGTGACAACACTAAGGTACATGTTGGACCTACAGGCAGTGTTAATTTCTAACTACAAGTGGGGTGGAGTTATTAGAACTAGGATGGTGGCAAAGCTAGAACATACTAATTGTAAGAAGAGTGATGGTATATAACATCTGAAAATCACTGCAAACTGTGTATCCAAGCCACAGTTTGTAGCTGGTGCTGGGGGCTGACATAAGCACTGCAAAGTCTGTTCTATGTACTTGCTGATTTTCTCATCTAATAAAACTAGGATGGTGGCAAAGCTAGAACATACTAATTGTAAGAAGAGTGATGGTATATAACATCTGAAAATCACTGCAAACTGTGTATCCAAGCCACAGTTTGTAGCTGGTGCTGGGGGCTGACATAAGCACTGCAAAGTCTGTTCTATGTACTTGCTGATTTTCTCATCTAATAACACCTGAAACTGGTGACTTCTGGTGATCTGACAGGGCAGGCCATGCATGTCTAACCTGGCAACCCTGCTCACCTCCTCTATGGTGTCAAGTTCCTCCACCTCCCTCTTTACAGGGGTGATGGGAACTGTGCAGTAGAAGGACTCCTCTCTACACACAGTAAGAAGGAAGTAGTCGCAAAGAGGGGAAAAAAAGAGAACAGCAGATGGTCAAGAACAAAATGCAGGAAAAATAAAATGGATGAAGCCAGAGTCTGGTGAAGTCAGAGAAATGAGGAACTAGGGAGAAAGAAATTAACACGAGTGAAGAAAGAACAGGAAGTCAGCAGACAATATTAAAGCAAATGTTGGAAAAAAATGTAAACAGACTGTTTCAGCAAGAAAAATAGGAAATGGTACATCTAATACTCAAACTGTAAGAGAAAGTATCCGCATTGACAGAAATGTCGTCCTGTCAGTGTATAGCTGATGTGCCCGGTATTATTCTTCAGAAATGAAAATGCTGTATAAACCAATTGTGCCTGTTTCAGCAGCATTGCTGAAAGGCTAAAAGACACTACAACTGGATTCAATTTTACCCACTGCCTAAATAACAAAAATGGATCTTTTCAACAACAGTAAGGGTACTGATTTGACAAAAAGCAGCATTCTTTAAAGAGCACAGTACCTGAAAAGCAGAAGAACAAAAACAAAGGGTAAAGAGGATAAAGAGGAAGTTTAAGTGGCGAGGAGTCCGTCTGCAGCAACCAGTAATTTGTCCAGACTAATGTATGGCTTAGGGAGAGGAGCAAGGACTGGAAATGGGATTTCTAACACTTTCTGAACAACAATTACAGCTTAACATTCTAGGCTGTATGGTATTCAACCCAGAAACTGTTTGTCTACCTCACACAAAATCTTCTACTGTATTTATGGTGCATCTGTTGGGAAAACTGTCTGTAGGTGTCACATGAATAAGTGAAACATAGATTCAAGAACCCACTAAAACCACATATAACAATAAAAATCAAATTAGACATTTATCACATTTTTCTGTAGCTTTGATTATCTGCGATTTGAGAAGCAAAGGAAAAAAATGTAATCATGCAACTTCTTATATCAGAGGATAGTTATGTGTTACATACTGGATCATCTGTGGACATATTAGAGACCATGGCTACATAATTCTCTTCACACTCCTCGGAGTCAGTGCTGGAGGCCATGCTATGCACTGACGGGGGTCTCGCTGGCATTGGAAACCTAGAGAGACTGAGCAGCATTCACAATGTTTACACACCGACTTCAAGGCAAATACACTCTCTGGTGAGCACAAAATATAATACAGACATAACAGTCGCAGCAATAAACCACTGCAGCCAGAAGAGTCCCTGCAGCACTAAGCACAGAAATAGACCTCATCCCTGATAAGCCAACAAACTGAGTTCAGTATGATGTAGCTCTGAGGCAGATCCCAGACCTGTTTGTATGAGCAGTGCTACTCTGGTCACAAAGTGACTCTGGTAATGCATGAAGTGTTAGTGCCTACTTTCTTAGTTAAGTGTATCTACTACAAAAAGGCATGTTCACACCAAAGTACATTTTCCTACAAAAGAGAAGGAAACCTCAACTGTATTTTGTGTTGGTAATATAAGGAGCAGGTAGGACAACGCACACTGTTTCCATAACAACATCATTGGCTTTAGTCACCAGGAGATGAGGTGCAGCAATTTATTTTCACTGTCCTGTGGCCTGTGTATCTCTGAACAATTGCATTTTTCTCAACTTTGAAAAGGCATGGTGCCTCTTCTCTGACAGCATCCCCACTTGACTTCAAACTAAGAATAAAAACAAGGCTCATGGGAAAGCAGAGTAGTGTGAACATGCCCCTCAGTTGTTAGCAAAATGCAGAATTATGAAAAATTCTGCAGAACATTTTAAATACTTACTCCCGAGCAAATGAGCGCGTGACGGGTGAGCGGACAGGCGTACAGGGCTCCTCCCATTCTGGCAGTGGTTTGATCTCCAGTGGAGCAGGTTTTCCTGAAGCAAGGTACACATACCAGTCAGTCACTGCTTAAGACACAGACTTAAAGTACATGTATGTGAGGCTGGCAAATTTGAACAGCAGAAACGCTGTATATAATGTGGAGTTAATCAACCTGTGTGCTTAATTTAGTGTTGTATGTCATAAAATCATTTCTGGTGCATATCTAAACAGGAACAAATGACTGCATGACATGCAAACACCACCAATATGGCTCATTATTTTATTTTATCAATACTTATTTTGAACAATTGTAAATGGCTGAAAAGCAATAATACAAAAATCTAAATTTTAAAATTCTATCTGCAGTGCAACTCTTCCTGTTTAATTATTCATTGCTTTACAGATTACAAATTCATTAATGAATCAATAAATAATATTCAGGAGCTCATTTACCCCCATTTATCCCTTTTTTCTGTTACCTAAAGTATCAGTCTCATTGCAAGCAGATCTTGTCTCCTGTAAATGCTGGTGAAACTTCTGGCGCAGGACAACAACTTTTGCATGTGTGATGATATTAAATCTATATTGAACCAATCTGATGAAAACATTGGTCCTTCTATACAACCATGCAAAATTGTGTGTGTAATAAAAGACCTCACAATAGATGTTCACCATAAATGCTCATTAACCATGGCTTCTGTCACAGGAGTTGGACTTAAACATCGTAAACTACATGGCTTTTGGGCTGCAACAGTGATGCTGCCCGGCCACAAGCATGCCTTGGCAAGCCTTTCAAGATAGTCACTGTGCCGTCAGTTTGAATTGACCATCCCTACTGAATTGATATGAATTAGAACGAAGAATTATTGTTGCTTTGCTGAATGTCATAACGATATCGCTCGAAAGATAATGCATGGGAGACAAAAAGAGAAAAGCACAAAACAGACACACAAGCAGACCAAATAAGAAAAGACAAATTAGGAGGGCCGACTCCTGCTGGACTTTGCAAACGAGGCTTTAGACAATGGGGAAAGAAAATTAGACTGCTACCAAATCTGTATGTTCATTGATTTCACATCTGTTTGCAAGTATGAACATGATTTTAGGCTAAACAGAAAGGGAAATTCTCTTTTTACAGAAAAGAGACAGCATGAAGTTGTGCTTTATTTGTGAGGCATATCTTAACCATCAGCAGGTTCAAAAAATGAGGCACTCTAATCACTGATAACAATGTCCTTTTTATCACCTTGTCATTGGTTGTTGGTTTTTACAATGAGCTGACAGAATAGAGGAAACCCAGTAATCTCGTAGTTGGCAGACACGGGTGGATGTGTGCTGGTGCCTGCATGTCTCTGGTGGCCCTCTAATGGAGAGGCGATCCTGTCATCCCATCGTGGCACCACAGATTCACGTTCTCCGCAAGTCCTGTTGGGTGGACTGGCAACCAAGAAACTGGGGGCGCGAAGCCCCAGGAGCCCCAGGGGGTGGCCGTTGCCCCCAGTGGCAGGCAGGGGTCAAGCCTAGTAAAAGTGCTGCCCTCAGGACAGTGAGTCCCCCCTAAATCCCACAGCAAAAGAAAAAGCCTGGGGCCCCCAAAAAAAAAAAAAGCTCCATTTTTTTTTTGGAGGGCCCCAAAAAATCCCGTTTTTTCAGTTCTGTATATATATTCACTTTGCACTGGGATCTGATGTCTGAAACCTCATTACCAGAGTTTAATTGTGGTTGCTAACAGAGTTTCAGTTCTTCTTTCTCTGTCTGCTTTCTGTTTTGACAGCTTCCAAAAGAATTTTCTGTGATGCCTACAAAGCTAAATTTAATTTCCTTTGCATTTGGTTCTGTTTAAGCCATGTGGTCATTATAATTAAGAAAGAACATATGAAAGTCCTTGGCTTAACAGGTAAACATATGATTTTCAGCTCATTTTAACGCAGTAAGAAGAAATAATAAAAAAAAAATTAAATCAATGAACTATTATTAATCTATTTATACACATTTCGTGAGAGCCTCTGTGATAATTATAATGAACACTCACATATTGCACTTAATTTCCTGATAATTAAACTTTTCACTGAAATCTATCAATAGAACTGCCATTTCAACTCAAACAACAAAAACAGCATTTTAATGTGCAACTGTTTTAATAAAAAAAAAGAAAAAAAAAAATGACAGGTGTTTATGATAGGGGAATATTTGAAAGTAGAGAAGGAGTGTAATTAAATCAGTCAGTTCATTACACCTTTTAAATAATCCTGGTCCTTATCCAACATTGTGTTTATTAAAGATGAGTGTGAGAAAAGCTTCACTACATATTTGTAAATGAACAGCTGGGGTGTTGTTCACGACTTTTAATTAGGTATGACTTTTTAAATTCACTTGCTCTATTATAGCACGATTCAAAAGTGACAATTTTTAGTGTTAGATTTTTTATGTTTTTCACTCAGAAAATTTATGTAACGCCACATGTTCTGGAATGACTATAGAGCAACTGGCATTATATCTCAGGGGAAATATTTTCTTTCTATTGTGCAGGCTGTTTTGAGATGCTTTGAATCCAAGAAGCCCGCCCCCTCGCCCCAACTTGTTGTGAGCCGTGCGACTGAGAGCCAACGCGTAACCCTGCCCCTTCGCAACCATGAAGAAAATAACTCTCTTTTCATGCCATGATACACATGAAAATATGAATCAATGAAACAACACGAGTTGGTTGGTGTAAATAGGAAGCATGAGACTGGGCTTGGAGCTGCAGATAGCGGCTCTGTTGCCTTGCTATCACCAGCTTTCTCCCTCCCACAAGCTCAAAGAGGTAGCGTCATCTTGGTTCCTACTTACTCGGCGCCCAAGCTACAGTCCCCGTAACCCGCACAACCCTTAGGAGGCTACCACTTGGTCGTGGGAACAGGCCACCCTGTTTTAATGGGGTTTGCTTCTTTGAAAAAAGCATCACAACACAAGTAAACAGGGCACTCCGTTGTGTATTTAAGTGGGCAGTGGAAACTTTGAGTAAAAGTACACGTGGGGATAATTTGTTTTTTTTCTCGCTGGGGGTTCGGGAGGAAAGTCTTAAAAGGTTACAGGCAAGAAGTATCTGAGCGATGTGTGTGCAAACGGGTGTGTGTACAGGTGCTGTGAAAGAGACAGTGTGGCTTGTATGAAAATGCCTCATTACTACGCTTCCCGGTTTTCTTGGGCTCAATAAAGTGTAGCAATGTGCCCTTGAAAACAAGACCGCAAATTAATTTCTTTGCATTGTGCATGTGGATAGATTTCCAAATATTCTCACATGAAAGAGCAATTATAATTCCATGATTCATATGCAACTTCCATTTGAAGCAGCTATCCCTCGCCCAATTGTCAGTTGTCAGAGTAGAGGATAAATCCCATGAAAAAGGCCTAATCTGCTTTATGGGCCAGCAGCTTTAATGAGCAGCCTGTCTCAGGCAGAGCCATGTGAACCTCTGGCTGGGGCCTAGACCAGTGGCAACGTGGAGGTCACGTTTTCCTAATGGAGGGCTCCATGGCTTCCCCCTCTGGAAGAAAGGGCGGAGCCCACTTTTACGTTGAACCTGTTAAGTCAAGTTGGCCTCTCGCTCTGACCCTCCAAAAGATGCCTGGATGGGGAGATTGTCAGGAAAAGCTACAGCAAAACAGCCGTGCCGCCTGCAGGCACGAGGCCTCCTAGAAATGAAAGGAGGAAAAAAGAAGAAAAAAAAAAAGAAAACGCCAGCTCAGAAACAAGAGACTGGAGGCCGGGTGAAAGATGTAAATTCAAAGCAAAAGCAGCAGAACTTTTAACCTATGGGCTATTATACAGAAAGTGAAACATGAGCTGCCGCTTGGAATTAGGGGACAATAAGGGAGTTTCAGGCCAGGGGCATTTAACCAAATGGAACATCATAGTGTATCAGATCCGCAATCTTAATGACATCAAGTGACCGAAGCTTTTGCAGAAACTCTGATTGCTGGTGGCATAAAGAGAGGGTCATACAGCCAGAGGGGATTAGTAAAATATATGAAAAAAACTGAAAATAATGAAAAAAGAAAGGATAATGAAAAGAGGTTATGAGAAACTAGGGGAATATTATTGCTGGAACTTCCACCGAGAATGGCGAGAGGGGAAGAAAAAGCTGTGCAAATATCATGGATTTGCGAAAGTCAATATACGTGCAATCTTCACATACAGAAAGCTATAATCAAAAAAATCATATTGAGGGTGAATGCAGAAGTTTTTCAAAAATGTCAGTGGAGTGTGTTTGCAGAGGGCAGGAAATGACAGATGAAGAGGCAGGGAGGTGAGAAGCAGGGAACGAGGCACAGGCGGACTCTGTGCTGATGAGGTCCTGGACACAGAGACCAGGCAAAGTGCAACGCCGGGCCAGTAGAGCACTCTGCCTCAGCCTGCTCCCTACAGAAAAGCCAAGAGGAGTCAGCAGGGCTACTGCTAATCTAATGGGAACCATCCACTTAAAATTCATAGGTTGAGACAAGACAGTAGGCAGCCTGGATTGCAAAAATGGTAGATAAGAGTGATTTGTGAAGACACTTTAAAAATCGACAAATTTTAGCAATGATAAAATTACTTTTTCCTTCCCGTGGAGTCTTATAAAAATACAATGCTTTGTACAACGCAGGCCAAACACAGCACTGAAGACTAGGTGATTGTGGAGGAAGTGCAGTTTTTTGTGAAGTATAAGCAGTTAAGTTGAAGTTCATTTGTTCAGAATATATAAGTATTTTCCATTTTGCAACTCTAACAAAAATGCACGTGAAATGGAGGGGGCGATTTTTTTCGATTTCTGTCTCGTAATCTTTTCAAACGCAATTCCTATTCTTCTTTTGAGGTCTTTTTAAGTACATTATAAATGTTTCTCTCTCCTCTCTCCGCTCTCTCTCTCCTCTCCCTACGCTTTAGTCTTCTTGAATAAAATAAGTGCAGATTTGCCTGGAAAATCAGTGGCTTTTGTTGTGGGCTGCAGGAGCATGGTGAAATGTTTTGGACACTAAATACCCATTTCATTTTCGGTAGCGCCATAAAATAAAAGCTGCCAGCGTAATG